AGACCAAATTTTCTTAAACCGTGTTCTCTCCCATAACTACAATAAGCATTTATACTTATATGCCAACCCCGTACGAAGGACAGGTACTCTGCTAGTTTAATTATAATACAAAAGAATCGCCTGTAAATTATTTTACTTATAGAGAAAACTCTTTATGAAACACAAACTTGTAACTTTTACTTGTACTGTAATACAGGGATTTTACCTGTATTACAGGTCCTGTATTTTTTATTAAACAGGTGATAATAATGGATACCAATGAAAACAAACCCTTTAGGAAGAGAAATGTTTATGGAGAATAGCCAGACTGAGGATTTGGAATCAGGCGAGGAAATTGAGGAGGATGACGAGGACCCATTAGTAGGCTTAAGCTTGGTATTGGAGAAGATGAAGGGATGGTTCAAGCAGCCAACTATCATTAAAATGGTTACAAAGCCTCAGACGGAGAAGTTTGGAAGGTACATGAATCGCTTCCAGGAAGAGCTGTTTGGGCTAGAGAGGAGAGAGTCAGGATGGAGACAAGGTTGGAGGAACGAAGAGATTTTTTGAAGATCGTGAGCTCATCTGTGCGGCATGAGATGGAAAATCTGAAGGATAAGAACGGATCAGGCACAGGTGGAGTGAGCTACTCTGCAGCTCTGCAGAAAGTTTCACCAACCGTTCCCAGAGTAACGGTGCCAAAGGTTACAGGCGTGAAAGGCCCCGTGCTTCCACCGCCTAAGATTGTAACAGTGAAGAGTGACAACCAGGAGTTCTAAGCACTCTCAAGAGGTTAGTGAAACCGCAGGAAATAGGATTAAAGGTTAGAAGGATAGTTAACATCCGGAATGGAGTCATCGTAGAAGCAGATGACGAAGAAGGAATAGACAATCTGATGAAAGAGAAATCTCTGGCTGATGCAGGATTAAAAGTTGAGAAGCCGACAAAGAAGAGACCCGTCATAATGATTTAAGACGTGAACGCTGAGCTGACAGAAAACGAGGTAAAGGAGGAAGTCTTCAACAGAAATATGCAAGGAAGGGAAATTGAGCAGGAGCAATTCATACAGGAGTTTGGGGTGCGACATAAGTACAAAGACGTTAAATCAGCTGGGAAGAAGAATCACATCGTAGTGGAGTGCTCTGTGAGAGTACGAAACTGGTTACGAAGGCAGGACAAGATTTTTGTAGAAAGGCAATGCTGTAGGGTTAAGGACTACGTAGATATAGCCAGATGTTTCAAGTGCCAATGGTTTGGCCGCATAGCGAAGCATTGTACTGCGACAGCGGCTAGCTGCTCATATTGCGCTGGTGAGCATGACTATAAGGAATGCCCAAATAAGAAAAAGAAAGAAGCAGTCTGTTGTGCCAACTGCAAAAGATAAAATCGAGGTGATCTGAGGCACGATGCAGGGTCAAGAAAGTGTCCTGCTTATGAAAAGGCAGTGAAGAGGAACAACAAGAAGATTGATTATGGATTGTAGGATAGCCCAGTGGAATGTAGGTAGGGGAAAGGCAGCTACAGATGAGGCAATTAGGAGGTGTTTGCAGGAAAAGATTGGCGTTCTTCTGGTCCAGGAGCCATACACAGTCGGCAGAAAGGTAAAGATATCAATATGTAGGATTTTTCATGATCGAAGCGGAAGGGAGGATGTTTGGAGCACGATTCTTGTGTTCAATGAGAAGATCGGAGCAATCATGGAAGCCAGAGAAACTAATGGAACGTGCGTCAGTGTTAGGCTGGAATATGATGGAAAGGCGATGCAAGTGATCAGTTTGTACTGTAGGCCATCAGAACCCATCGATGGGCATATGACATGGTTAGCTGACATTATTAGAAAGAAAGGAAACAAAGGCGTGTTGTGTGGTGGGGATTTGAATGCAAGGTCAGGGTTGAGGCTCAGTGGATCAACGGATGAGAGAGGATCCAAGGTAGAAGATGTTATACTGGCTTGGGATCTGCAGGTTCTTAACAAATTCAGTAGGTGGACGACATTTGAAAACACACAGGGAGGAAAATCAAACATTGATGTGACATTGGCGACGAGGGATCTTTCAGGGAAAATGGAGGACTGGTTAGTTCATGAAGAGACGTTAAGTGAACATAGGCTAATTACAATGCAATTGCGAGGAGATCAAATTAATCGGATAATCCAGAATGAACATAGGCTAGGATCATACTGCCTAAGGAAGGTAAACTGGGCGAGATTTGACGAGGCTTTACAGAAAAGCATTCAGGAAATGGAATTTGAAACCGCTACAGCAGAAGTTCATGCAGAAATGATTACAGAAATGACGTGCAAACTGATGAAGGAACAGTTCCCAAAAGCAAAAGTAGGTACGAAACAGGTATACTGGTGGACAGAAGAGCTGGATGAATTGCGAGTAAAAATGAGAAGGAAAGGTAGGATCTGGAGAAGGACAGGAAGTGAAGTTGATAGGAGAGCGTTTGTTAGGTCAAGGACAGATTATGTATGGGGAATTAGGAAACAAAAGAAGAAGATTTGGGAAAAGTTGATTGCGTAGGGAGAGGGTGACCCATGGGGAAAGGTTAATAAGATTGCTGCAGAGAAACTGAAAAAGGATACTGTGCTGGTCAGCCTGGAAAAAGAAGACGGTACAATGACGGAGACAGTGCAAGAGACCCTAGAGAGAATGATACAAGGATTGCTGCCAGACGATAGGGAAGAGGAGGATACAGAGGAACAATCAAGAATCAGAAGTAGGATGGCTGATGAAAGCACTGGAACAGATGAGGAAGATTTCACGGAAGGAGAGCTAACTGCATGCATTGCACTGCTGAAATATAGGAAAGCCCCGGGAGTGGATGGAATAAAGAACGAAGTAGTTAAGAGAATGTTTGGAAGGATCAAAGGGACGCTGTTGAACCTGTACAACAAGATGCTGAGAGAAGGCAGGTATCCTGATGTGTGGAAAAAAGGAATCGTCAACGTTTTTCTGAAGAGCGAGGAAAAGGACCCAGGTAAGGTTAAATTGTGCAGGCCAGTAACCCTCTTTACCTGTCTTAGGAAAGTTAGGCGAAATGATAGTGAAAAGGATGAAAGAATGGATGGATAGGGAAAATAGGGCAAATCCACTTCAATATGGATTCACGGGAAGTGTTGGAACGGTAGACGCACTTCTGGACATGAGAAGAGAAGTAGAAGAGACAGAAGAAAAGTACGTAGTAGGCTTGTTCCTGGATATTTCTGGAGCTTTCGACTCCGCCTGGTGGCCAGAGATTCTGAGAGTTTTGAGAAGATGGCGATGTCCGAACAACATCTACCAATTGGTGAGGGACTACTTCCGAGGCAGAACCGTGACATTAAGAGCTGGCAACGGAGAGGTGAATAAGGACATCACTAAAGGATGCCCCCAAGGATCTGTGGTGGGCCCTCTGTTGTGGAACATCCTGTTTGATGGGTTTTCAGGAAAGCGGCCTGGTGAATAAGTCTCTGACTTAAACCAGGGGTGGTGGTGGGACCGCTGGCCTTCGGCCAAACACCTCCCTGCGAGATGCGAGAACTTGAGAAGATTGTACATCGGTGCGCTTGAACCAATGATGCTGTACGGCTGTGAGATGTGGGGTCAAAGAATGAGGGGACGAGGTGAGAGGTCTAATTTGATGAGTCTGCAGAGAAAACTGTTGTTGGGTGTGATCAAGGGCTACAGCACGATATCCCACGAAGCTGTCCGAGTGATTGCCGGGGTATCCCGCTTGACTTGATGGTTGAAGAAAGGATTAAGAGAAGAAGGGACAAAGAAGAAGGTATCGACATCAAGGAAAGCATAAGGATCCGAAGAGAAGAAACACTCGTTGACTGGCAGAGAGGGGTAGCGGATTTCTACCCCCGGATATTTACCCCCATGAAAAAACGCCTACGTCATTTTGACGTCACAAGGGGCGGGGCCTATACACGGTCGAGAAACAGCCCGCGACTGGAAATTTACCCCCAATATATTATTAAATAATCAACATGTAATTGTTTGATTATAAAGTGATTTGCCATAGCACGGAAATCTACCCCCGGACATCTACCCCCGGATATCTACCCCCAGACATTTACCCCCGGATATCAACCCCCGGACATCTACCCCCGGATATCTACCCCCGGAAATCTACCCCCGGACATCTACCCCCAGACATCTACCCCCGGACATCTACCCCCAGACATCTACCCCCGGACATCCACCCCCGGACATCTACCCCCAGACATCTACCCCCGGAAATCAACGGCTCTTCGGTTAAGCATTGTCTTGTAATATCCAGTATACAGCATGCGATATGTCATTGTCTTGTTTAACATTATCTATCTTCCTAATTCAATAAGCTGTAACAGTCCTTTTTCACCCGACCTACTTCGCCGATTGTTACGATTGAGGTGTCATTTTAAAGCTTAAGATCTTGCCCAGAGCAAAATGGTAATTAAAAAGGATATTTTGATTAGGGCTTCAAAAGGTTGCCCCCTAAGCCTTTTATTTATTCCTAGAAGGTGCTTCCAATGGTTGACCAACTTTCACACTATACAGTAACAGTTTTAATGGTGAAATGTGAGCAGATTACTAATCAGTTCAATTTTTAAGTCAGGTTGAAAACCAGAATAGATCGTCTGCAACTGTAAACAAGAGATGGAACACTACCCCTAAACTGCTTTTCGTTCTCAATTGGCCCTCTATCAATGACCTGTGTTGTTATATACATAGACTATATATAATATTTTACCATTGTAGGCCTATGTAAGACTACTCTGTAGGCCTATGTAAAACTACTCTAAGCTAAGCTCATGTGACTTCTTCTTGTTCACTACTACTTCCGTGTCATCTCCATAATGTAGCTTTGTGCTCTGTAGTCTGTTGATTTTATTATCAAAATAAATCTTTTAAATCTACTTTGTGTAGTTATTATTTAGAAGCCCAAGAAGAATTAAGATGGTGTCAGAAGTTAACTATTTAGTTTGAACAGTGAAGTGTTTAGTAACAAGTGAATTTTCTTAGTGAATATTAGGTTAACCTCAAACCACGATGGCAACGTTTCAAGCTCCACAAGCATTGGACCTTAGTGGCAACGTAGCTGAAAATTGGAAAAGATTTAAGCAACGTTTTATGCTCTACTTGGAAGCCCTGGGATCCGACAAGATGCCCGAGAGACGAAAAATAGCTATATTGCTGACCACTATAGGTGATGCGGCTCTAGAAGTGTATAATACCTTCTCGTTTAGTGAGTCAACTCCCAAACTCGAAGAAGTTATAGGAGAATTTGATAAGTACTGTCAGCCACTAAAAAACATAATTTTTGAACGGTTTAAGTTTCACTCATTGGGACAGAAGGAAGGTCAGTCGGTTGATTCTTACGTGACAGAACTGAAGAAAGCAGCATCCAACTGTGAATTTAAAGACGAAGAAGATATGATTCGAGACAGACTGGTGCTAGGGATTCGCGATAAAGTGATGCAGGAACGTCTGCTGCGAGATACAAGCCTCACTCTCAAGAAAGCCGTTGAGTTCTGCCGAACTTGTGAAACAAGTCAAAACCAGGTTAGAGAACTTCAAAATACAGTGGAGTCTATCAAAGTTACAGGTAGGCCTATGTCTAGTAACAATACTTCTAGGTTACCTTCTAAGGTAGGCTCAAAGCAACACAATGAATTCTTTTTATGTAAGAAGTGTGCAAACACCCATAGAGCTCGGAACTGTCCAGCCTATAACAAGAACTGTGCTTTGTGCAAGGACAAACATCATTTTGCTAAGTGCTGCCCTAATAAAGATAGACTTAAATTTAGTAACAAGGCTAACGGTAAACCGAAGAAGAAAGTTTATGAAGTTGAAACAGACACTGCGACTGCGGATCAACTTGTTGAGGATGAATATGCAATAGGCGTAGACTTTTTCAGTGAATCTGATGATCTCTTTGTTAACTCTCTAGAAAATAAGTCACCTGATAATAGTGAGAATAACAGTTTGAATGTTAATTGTGTAAAAGGTCTAACAAAGCCTAACAAGTTAAATAATAGGGCTTGGTATGAAACTATTGTTTTAAGTGAAAATGATGAGGTTACTTTTAAATTAGATTCAGGCTCGGAAGCTAATGTGCTACCTTTGAAAACTTTTAATAGTTTGCTCTTTAAGCCTAAATTGCTGAGTACACCAACTGTATTGGTAGGGTTTGGTCAAAACTCTCAAGTTAAACCTATTGGTAAAGTACTACTTAACTGTTCCTCTCGTAATGCGAACAATGTCAGTAATGTTGAATTTGTAGTAGTTGATGTCAATTCTGTTCCTTTACTAGGACTTGAAACCTGTGTAAAACTGAAGTTAATTGAAAGAGTGCCTATTAGTTGTAAGCCTGTTGTAAATGTAAATAGTATTTTTGTAAATCCTAAAGATAAAATTGTAAATCAGTACCATGATGTATTTGAAGGTCTAGGAAAATTTCCAGGCAAAGTTGAAATCAAACTCAAGCCAAATGCTGAACCGAGAATCTTTCCACCTAGGCGCATACCTTTAAGTTTAAATGAAAAGTTAAAAAGCACTTTGGATAGGCTAGATAAGCAGGGTATAGTCTCTAAAGTTTCAGAACCAACTGAATGGGTTCAAAATCTTGTGATTGTTGAAAAGCCTAATGGTAATTTGCGTCTATGTCTTGACCCTAGGGAAATGAACAAAAATATCAAAAGAGAGCACTATCTGATTCCCAAATCTGATGAAATTTTAAGTAAGCTACATGGTAAAAAAGTTTTTTCAGTGTTAGACATGAAAGAAGGATTTTGGCATCTTAGGCTAAGTGAAAGTAGTGCATTGTTAACTACCTTCCATACTCCTTTTGGTAGGTATTATTTTAATGTTTTGCCTTATGGCCTGTGCTCAGCACCAGAGATCTTTCAAAAGCATTGTAAAGAAATATTTGGGGATATTTCAGGATGTGAAATATATTTTGACGATCTTATTATTTTTGCTAAAGATGAAAATGAACATGACATGATCTTGAAAAAAGTACTTGACCGAGCTAGGGAAAAAAATGTTAAGTTTAATCTGTCTAAGTTCCAGTACAAAGTCCCTGAGGTTAAGTTCTTAGGTCAATTAGTCTCAAGTGATGGCATTAGGCCTAATCCAGAACATGTGAGAGCTATTGTCGAAATGGAAAGACCCCAAAACAAGAAAGAATTGTTAAGATTTTTAGGTATGACTAAGTATTTGTCACAGTATATTCCTAACCTATCGACTTTGTCAGCACCTTTGCGCAACTTAACTAAAAATGATACTGATTGGCAATGGTACCCAGAACATGAGAAATCATTTTGTGAGTTAAAGAGTAAGTTAGTCTCTGCCCCAGCATTAGCTATTTTTAATAGTTCTAAACCAGTAACCCTTCAGGTTGACGCATCAAAAGATGGCCTCGGAGCATGCTTGCTTCAAAATGGTCACCCTATAGGCTTTGCATCAAGATCATTGACCGATACAGAGACCCGTTATGCTCAAATCGAGAAAGAGTTACTTGCTATTGTCTTTGGCTTTGAACGTTTTCATCAGTTAACGTATGGTAGGCTAGTTACCGTACAGACTGATCACAAACCATTAGTTTCTATAGTTGAAAAAGATCTTTGTAAAGTGTCAGCTAGGTTACAACGTTTATTGTTAAGACTTTTGAAGTATCAGTTTAAACTCGTGTATGTACCTGGTAAATTGATGTTTATGGCCGATACATTGTCTCGGTCTTATTTGAAAGACCCTGTTACTGATGATCCAGAATTTTCTTTTGTTGTACATACTATTAGTAAATATGTGGCTATGTCTGAACAAAGGAAACAAGAATTTATTAAAGCCATTGATGAAGATGAAACTATGACTATGTTAAAAAAATATCACTTATTGGGTTGGCCCAAGTTCAAAAATGTGTGTCCTAAAAATGTACAGTTTTATTTCAATCTTAAACATGATATTAACTATGAAGGTGGTTTATTGTTTCTTAATGACAAAGTAATAGTGCCAACTAAACTTAGATTGAGTATGTTGAAGAAAATCCATGAAAGCCACCTAGGTGTAGAAAAGTGTAAAATTCTTGCCAGACAAGTGTTGTACTGGCCTAATATGTCTACAGATATAGAGGATTTTGTTCTAAAGTGTCAAACTTGTGAAAAGTTTAGGAGAAGTAATGTTAAGGAACCTATGTTAAGTCATCCTGTTCCATCAAGGCCATGGGAAAGAATAAGTGCTGATATCTTACAATTTGGTAATAATGATTATTTGGTTGTTGCAGACTCATACAGTAGATGGTTTGAATTGTGCTTGTTAAATGGTAAAACAGCAAAAAATGTAATAGATGTACTTAAACCAATTTTTGCTAGATTTGGCTCACCAGATGTTTTAGTATCTGATAACATGCCTTTTGGAAGTGTCGTGTTTAGAGAATTTGCGGATGAATGGAATTTTAAACTGGTTACTATAAGTCCTTTGTACTCTCAGTCAAATGGCCTTGCTGAAAAATTTGTCTCAGTAGCTAAGAATATGTTGAGGAAATGTAATGACTCTAAGAAAGACATTAACGTAGCTCTAATGTTGTACAGGAATACTCCCTTAAAAGATACAAAACTGTCACCTGCACAAATAATGTTAGGTCGGGTAGTCAAAACAACATTACCAACTGCTAGTTCTGTGTTAAAACCTATTCGTGTAAACAGTAAAGAGATTAAATCAAAGTTAGAAAGTCACAAAAAAGTTGTAAAAGCTTATTATGACAGAGGATCACATAAGCTACCTCCCTTTCAAAAAGGTGATAATGTTATGGTAAAATCAGGAAAGGTTTGGGAACCAGGATTAGTTATAAGAAAACACCAGACACCAAGATCCTATATAGTTAAGTCTAGTAATGGTAATGAACTAAGAAGAAATAGGGTATTTTTGAGAAAATCCTTTAACAAATTCCCTTTAGTTTCAAGTGAAGATCCAATGACTCAGTTGTATGATGAAACTGATAGGCCTATTGTTCCACCTAGGTTAACTCCTGCCTCAACACCTAACCAAACTAGCTTGACTCCTGTTGCAACCCCTAACCCATCTCAATCCCGAACAAGGTTTGGAAGAGTAATTAAAAAACCAATAAGGTTTGAAGACTAATTTTGTTTTGTAAATATTGTGTGTTCAATTTTGTTTTCATGAACTCTCAATCCTTATTTTTAGGGGGGAGATGTTATATACATAGACTATATATAATATTTTACCATTGTAGGCCTATGTAAGACTACTCTGTAGGCCTATGTAAAACTACTCTAAGCTAAGCTCATGTGACTTCTTCTTGTTCACTACTACTTCCGTGTCATCTCCATAATGTAGCTTTGTGCTCTGTAGTCTGTTGATTTTATTATCAAAATAAATCTTTTAAATCTACTTTGTGTAGTTATTATTTAGAAGCCCAAGAAGAATTAAGATGTGTTGCCTGTACAGCGAGGCATTTTGAGAAGGAGAAAACCGGCCGGATGAATGCTTTAAGTTTATCAATAACGAAGATAAACATGGTTTTAGTTACACACCGGTAATCTTTGAGTTGACTCTTTTAAACTCATTGTAAATATTCATTGTTATTCGTTTTGAAATAACTCCTTTAATACTTTGCAATTGCTCGAATTCGAGCAACATGTACACTAGTTACATATTATTGCACTTACGATTTATTTGATTTGTTTATTTACGTGAGTCACAACATTTTTAATCTTACTTGGTTTTGGATTTTATTACAAAACGTGATCGGAAATGGTTGCAGTATTTGTAAACAAAATGTAATAACAAATTTCCAGTGACAGCAAGAAAAAATCATCTTTATCCAGCTTTTCATCTTTCACAGCTGTTCGTTATTTCACAGATGTCGTATTCTCCAAACAAATTATTAGTATTTCATAAATTACTGGTAAACATTAGGAGTAGCTTAAACTTGACAAAAATGCAAAAAATTGGGGGTTTGAACAAAATTTATTTTAATTCAAAAGTAGTGAGGCCATATTTTAATGGCTTAAGTTACTCGTGTCAATCCACCAAATCCAAAAAGACTATTTAAATCGAATCACGATCGATGCTCTAGTTTTTGAGGAGAAGGTCACGTAAAATGCCTTCTGGGCCTTGACAGACAAGACAGAAATTGAGATAAAGACTTGTTTTGGCTTCTTTGTATAAAACGTAAAAATGACATAAAAATATATAATTTTGAGCAATGTTCATACTAAACTCTAATTTCATTAAAATAAATTCGTAAAACCAAAAGAACCATGAGGTAAAAATACCTTCTATTACAACTACACGTATCGTATATTACGTCCACTAACCTGTTACTCATTTGCTAGACTGCTTGTCTCCGACGTCGGGCTGTGACGTCAGCTGTTGTCGTCATCGGTGGTCAGTGTAGCCAATTCATAAACTTAAATTCCTCTTGCTACTTTACTTTAATAATATACTACACCTTCCCTATCCCGAAATATCCAATTTTATTCTCTTACATTATTCTCCGCTATTTCACAACCAGCATTGACGTTGGCATTGACAACCAGAAGCAATCATAAAATATGTTTATGTTTTATTTTTTACGATTAATTAATTGTGTAAACAACTAGACTTTTTAGCCAATGTAAAACTCCGGATAGTGTCTACGACATAGGGATTATGCTATTGCGTATTACTAGGAGGTAATTGATAGTGAACAAATTATTAATTCATTAATCAACCTGTGGCAGGCTTTTTATCAACATTTAATTGCATTTTTACCACTAGTAATCAGAAAATAACCTCCTTCAGTGATATGTTTTAAATTTCACGGTCTGCGCTCGTACATGTGCCGTTAGCTATGAGTGTATGTGAAAATTGGTCAACCATTTAAATCACTGTCTAAAAATAAATCAAATGCTTAAGGGTTAAACTTTTGGAGCCCTTTATCAAAAAATCCTTTTTAATTACCATTTTCGTTGCACTGAATCTTAAGCTTTAAAATGACACCTAAATCAGTTACAGCTTAATGAATTGGGAAGATAGACGACATTAAACAAGACAACGACATATCACATGCTTAATACTAGATATTAGAGGGTAATTATTAAACAAAGAGCCATTGATTATTTTCATAAACCAATTACTAAAATCAACTACAACAATAAATATTGGCCGATACTTAGTGTAGCACGGGGGGTAGATTTCCGGGGGTAGAATTCCGGGGTCGGACATTTATGATTTGACCACTGGGGGTACATTTCTGGGGGTAGATTTCCGGGGGTAGATGTCCGGGGGTAGATGTCTGGGGGTAGATGTCTGGGGGTAGATGTCCGGGGTCATATGTCCGGGGGTAGATGTCCGGGGGTAGATGTCCGGGGGTGGATGTCTGGGGGTAGATTTCCGGGGGTAAAGTTCCGGTGTCAGTTTTATTAGCATTTTGATTAATTACAACTGTTAAGTAAACCGTGAAATGCGAGTTGATTGAATATATAATAATTTATCCATCCTAAAAGTTCGCGGCCGGAAATCTACCCCCATACATGTGACGTCAAAGTGACGTAAGCGTTTTTTCATGGGGGTAAATATCCGGGGGTAGAATCCGGCGACCCGGCAGAGACAGTGGGAGTCAAGCACAAAAGGAAGGGAAACCTTTGCGTTCGTTCCGGATGAGAGGTTGAGAAAGAAAGTCCATTGGGAAACCGATCACTACACGACACAGTTCGTCAGAGGACACAGCAAATTCAAGGCAAAGATGAAAAGTTTCAACCTTGTCGATGATGATCATTGCACTCATTGCGGAGAGCTGGAGACATCGCAGCACGTACTGATGGAGTGCCCATTCTATGAAGAAGAAAGAAGCGACATGAGGGAATTCCTCCGACAAAAGACATGGGCTTGGGAGAAGATCAACTTCTTGAGAACCAAAGAATCTACGCTGGAGTTTGCCAGAATGTGCCGAAGGATAGGAAAGAAAAAGCATGAATTTGAAAATGCAGGAAGACAGGCTGGAATTTGAAAGTGAAATAAAAAATGTTAGGAAAGATTAAATAAATTAAAGAAGATTGAAAAACAAAATCCGATGAACCTAGTACAGAGGGTACTAGGTGAGGGGAGAGGTGTTGGTTAGGCACAGAATGTGCCTGGAAGGACAAAGAATGAAGCCGACAGCTGGAAGAGGATCCGATGATTTTTCAGGAAAGCGGTCTGGTGAATAAGTCTCTGACTTAAACCAGGGGTGGTGGTGGGACCGCTGGGCTTCGGCCAAACACCTCTCTCCTCTCTCTCTCCCTCCCCAAGCTGATTCTTTGTCTCACTCTCTCTCACTCAGTCAGCCCAGACTGAATTTTAAAAAAATCGCGCTTCTTTCAGGTTTTGTATTTGTTGTACACAATAAAACATTTGGTACGTGTTTTTGGTCATAAAACTTAACACTGATATTTGGTCCTTAGCAAATTTCTCTTCAATTACTCCCTACAGAAGTCCTATATTTAAACGAAATATCAGTGTTATGTTGTGTGAGTCTATCCATTTGCCCCTAGACTCTAATTTTCTCAGGTAAGCTAGTTGAACTCTATCTCTTTTAAACAAATGCATAACTATAGCTTTCCTATAAAATAAAATACTAAACGATGGTTTAGTACTTCTCCACTCCATCTGCACGAACCTCCATGGGTTTTGGCTACTTATGGAACTACTAAAAATGGTATTAGAGTTGTTTACCCAACTGTCCCACAATGATGAGTTTGGCAGTGAGGTAGACCCTGTGGTGGATGTTGTTGGATATAGGAGGTAGAATTCTCTCCACTTCCGTGATTGTTTGGAAGCTCCGAGCACAGTTGATGGAGATGTAGAGAAATGTAGGAATGATGAGAAACGGAGGTCCCAACTGAATCAACAACTTAACTGGGAAATTACACACAAATATTACATAATATATATATATATATATGTAAAAAATATATAAATGTAGCCCATATATGTGAGAGTTGGGGATTATCTTATATTAAGGTTTGGTGAGTTTCTAGAGTGGGTGAACCATTGGTAATTCAATTCCCATCTTCTCAGTTCTGAGGAGTTGCAGTTTGGAGGCAGTTTTTTAAAATTATTTTTTAAGAGAAGCAGCTATTGCAATCAGATTTGGAGTGTGATGAGGCATGGTTGACTACTGGTTTGTCTTTATAATTATTTTTTACATCTTGAAGATGACCGTTCATCGGGCTCGGCAGTCTTTACATTGGAGCTGATAAAACAAATCTGCTGGTGCTGCACGTGTTATGTCCTTGAATTTTGAAAAAAATCATTTGTGGTGTTACTGGAAAAACTTATGGTGTAGGGGGGGGGGGTTGATGGGACACGTTTTGCATCTGGAACTAGTACATGGGAAAGAGCCGTTTGGGGGTTGGTCTCTGGTTGCTGTCATTGGATCCGGCATCTTAGGATGACCAAGAATCTTTTTGATTTTGTGTGGTTGGAGAAATGTGGTGGTTGGGGGGGGGTTTCAGGAAATCCTTTGTGTGTGGAGAAACTTGTAATTTTTTAGATTATAGTTGAGGGATTGTAGGCAATGATGATATTCAGTTATTAGGTTTAGGTTTTGTGTAGGTTTCAGTTTCTTTGTTGGAGGGTTTTTTGATTGGGCTAATCGGGTCTGGTTTTATACCAGGCTTTTGGGATAGCCTCTTTCAATGAATGCGTTGGAAATTTTCAAATTGAATTTGGAGAGTTCCTCTTCTGTTAAACAAATAAGCTGCACACGAGACCTGACCGAGGTCTATGGTGCTGTCACCAGGCTCAACTGTAGAGAGATGAGCTCCTCATGAGCTACACACGAGACTTGACCGAGATTTATGGTGCTTTCACCAGGCTCAGCTGTAGACAGGTGAGTTCCTCATGAGCTGCACACGAGACATGACCGAGGTCTATGGTGCTGTCACCAGGCTCAGCTGTAGACAGATGAGCTCCTCATGAGCTACACACGAGACTTGACCGAGATTTATGGTGCTTTCACCAGGCTCAGCTGTAGACAGGTGAGTTCCTCATGAGCTGCACACGAGACATGACCGAGGTCTATGGTGCTGTCACCAGGCTCAGCTGTAGACAGATGAGCTCCTCATGAGCTACACACGAGACTTGACCGAGATTTATGGTGCTTTCACCAGGCTCAGCTGTAGACAGGTGAGTTCCTCATGAGCTGCACACGAGACATGACCGAGGTCTATGGTGCTGTCACCAGGCTCAGCTGTAGACAGATGAGCTCCTCATGAGCTACACACGAGACTTGACCGAGATTTATGGTGCTTTCACCAGGCTCAGCTGTAGACAGGTGAGTTCCTCATGAGCTGCACACGAGACATGACCGAGGTCTATGGTGCTGTCACCAGGCTCAGCTGTAGACAGATGAGCTCCTCATGAGCTACACACAAGACTTGACCGAGATTTATAGTGCTTTCAACAGGCTCAGTTGTAGACAGATGAGCTCCAAGAGCTACACACGAGACTTGATCAAGATTTATAGTGCTTTCACCAGGATCAGCTGTAGACAGGTGAGTTCCTCATGAGCTGCACACGAGACTTGACCGAGATTTATGGTGCTTTCACCAGGCTCAGCTGTAGACAGGTGAGTTCCTCATGAGCTGCACACGAGACTTGACCGAGATTTATGGTGCTTTCACCAGGCTCAGCTGTAGACAGGTGAGTTCCTCATGAGCTGCACACGAGACTTGACCGAGATTTATGGTGCTTTCACCAGGCTCAGCTGTAGACAGGTGAGTTCCTCATGAGCTGCACACGAGACTTGACCGAGATTTATGGTGCTTTCACCAGGCTCAGCTGTAGACAGATGAGCTCCTCATGAGCTACACACGAGACTTGACCGAGATTTATGGTGCTTTCACCAGGCTCAGCTGTAGACAGGTGAGTTCCTCATGAGCTGCACACGAGACATGACCGAGGTCTATGGTGCTGTCACCATTCTCAGCTGTTGACAGATGAGCTCCTCATGAGCTACACACAAGACTTGACCGAGATTTATAGTGCTTTCAACAGGCTCAGTTGTAGACAGATGAGCTCCAAGAGCTACACACGAGACTTGATCAAGATTTATAGTGCTTTCACCAGGATCAGCTGTAGACAGGTGAGTTCCTCATGAGCTGCACACGAGACTTGACCGAGATTTATGGTGCTTTCACCAGGCTCAGCTGTAGACAGGTGAGTTCCTCATGAGCTGCACACGAGGCCTGACCGAGGTCTATGGTGCTGTCACCAGGCTCAACTGTAGAGAGATGAGCTCCTCATGAGCTACACACGAGACTTGACCGAGATTTATGGTGCTTTCACCAGGCTCAGCTTTAGACAGGTGGGTTCCTCATGAGCTGCACACGAGACATGACCGAGGTCTATGGTGCTGTCACCAGGCTCAGCTGT